TGCCAGCAACTTCCCCTGTGTGTGACAGAGGCAGTGTCAGCCAGCTCCAGGATAGATCTGCAGCTGGCCAAGGCCATCAGCAAGCGTGTTAGCAGATTTAGGAAGGGGGAAAAAATCCTGCACGATTTGCAGTCAGAGAAGAGAGAAGTGAGGAGATGTGAGAACAACAGCTCTGCAAACACTAAGATGAGTGAAGAAGGGAGGGGAAGAGGTGCTTCAGGTATTGGAGCAGAGATTCCCCTGCAGCCCATGATGAAGACGATGGTGAGTGGCAGACTGTCCCTTTGCAGGCCATGGAGGTCCCATGGTGGATCAGAGATCCACCTGCAGCATGTGGAGAGCAGGTGGATGTCTGAAGGAGGTTGTGACCCCACATGAAGCCCACAGTGAAGCAGCCTCCTGGCAGGACCCATGGCCCCTTGAGGGAACCATGCTGAAGTGGTCAGTTCCTGAAGTACTGCACTCTGTGGAAGGGACCTATAATGGAGCAGTTAATGAAGAACTTGAGAAAGACTCACATTGAAGAAGTTCCCATGAGTGAGATCCCATGCTAGAGCAGGGGAAAAGTGTGAGGAGTCCTTCCCCTGGAGGAAGAAGTGGCAGAGAAAATGTGTGATGAACTGACCACAGTCCCCATTCTCCATCTTCCTGTGCTGCTGGGGAGGAAGAGGGAGAAAAATTGTAACTAAAGTTAAGCCCAGGAAGAAGGGAGGGGTAAGGAGAAGATGTTTAAAGATTTGGGTTTATTTCTCATTATTCTATTCTGTTTTGATTGGTAATAAATTAATTTCTCCAAGTCAAGGTTGGTTTTCCCATGACAGTAATCGGTGAGTGACCTCTCCCTGTCCTTATCTTGACCCAGGAGACCTTCATTATATATTCTGTTCCCTGCCCAGCTGAGAAGGGGAGGGCTAGAGCAGCTTTACTGGGCACCTGATGTCTATCCGGGGTTAACCCATCACATACCTTATTCTGGTATGAGAATCCATCATCTGACCTTTGCCAAACTATTCACTGAAAATGGTATTAATGCAAAAAAAAGATGAAAAGGCAATGAGCAGCTTGTAAGATGAAAAAGTAATAAGCGGGATAAAGGGAACAGCAACTAGGAATAAAAGAATGCTTAAAAATCCATGAATTTGATTGTCTGGCTTTTCTTTCTAACAGCTTTGCTACAGTGGACATGCTGTGAAAGAGAATGCTTCTTTGTGGACATGCATGTGCACACACAGGCATGAAACAGCAGAAGTTAGAAAACAAGTAATATTTAATTGCAGAAGCCAACTATTTAGGCAGGGTGAAAATGACCATTACCATAAAAAACTAACATAATGGAAAAGGTTTTCCAGTGCTGCTAGCACTTTATTGTATCATGAAATACAAATATGCTATAGACATCACAAACCACCTACTCCTTTCTCCTTTGATTTCCAGTTGGTTAAGATACAAAGGTGTAGAAAAGACATTTGGCTAGAGTCTGAAATAAAATCATGTATGTTAACTGGGAAGCCCAACTGATGTTTAAAATACTGTTGTTTCTCAAGTAGAATGCAAAAGAAATGCTTAACTGAAAAAAGACTTATCACAAGACTATATACGGGAAAATATATAGATTTGTATGGGAATTTGAGAGAGGAAATAAATCTAATGTTCCCACATTAAAATATTTTGTGACATGCTGCCCAGTGTCTAAATACAGTTATCCACGTACAGCTTCCTTTATAGTTTTAATTTGAAAGAAGACAATTTCCTACAGCAATAGACCTTAGTAAACAAAGAATGCCAGTCTTAATGCAGCTAGGTTTTGTGATCTATTCTGTGTTATTGCCCAGAAACAAGGCCTGGGACTCCTCAGTAAATTTAAGGCTTTATAAGAAGTATAAAAACCTTTTGGAGAATGAATGGCTTGTTAGCTAGATGACTGGACCATCACTTCTTCTTCCAAAAGCTGGCAGTGTGAGTTCAGTAAGGATAATATTGTCTTAGAAATCTCTAAGAATGTGAGTGAAAATCCAATCAGGTTTTTTATAGGATTAAATAGAACTGTGAGCTATGCATGCATAAAACCATATCACAAATACAATTTCCAACACTGCAATTTCAAAAGGATTTGGCTCATTGTATAGATGAGGGTGCTTTGTATTTGAAAGCAAGGGTTTTCCTGGACTTTCTAAATCTTACTTATTCTTTAACTCAGGCAAAAGCATGGTGTTTGAAAGAACTTTGGAAATTCTTGGAAAAGAGAAGTGATTTTAAAAGCAGGAATCAATAAAAGTGCTAATAAGATCACTGATAACACATACATATGGAATACCAAAAGGAACAGATAAAAATTGCTCTCCTTTTATTTTATTTGCTACTCAGTTTCCTCAGAATCCTGAACTTCTGAAATATTGAAAATAAAAGAACTGTGAGGCCTCCAAAGAACTTGAAATTTAGGAAAGACGAAATTTTAGAAGTAGCTGTAGGTTACCTCTCTGTAGGTTACATCAGCCCAAAGAATAAAGAATAAAGAAATTAAAGTAACACACACAGAAAAAAAATGGCTGTGCTCCAAAGAAAATGTTTTTTGCCAGTAGACACAGCCGAAAACATTTAAAACTAAGTAAAATATTTAACTAGTGTTTATATCATGTCACAGGATGTCTTAATATATCTAAGTCACTCTTCGCGAATGAAGATTTGGGAAGGTCTCTACCCACATTTCTTACAAGCGCGCTGGTGGCTAAAAAGGCCAATACGAGACAGGCACAACCCGTTGCAAAAGACACAGCAGAAAGACTCCTTAGGTGGTATATTCTGCAAGGCACGATTCTTTCTGCATTGTCTTTTCTCCTCAAGAGTGATCCTGCATACATTCTCAAAGGAAGCAGCAGCGTTATAGATGGTGTGTCTCCAGACCTCCTGATTGGAGGCCAGAGTAGACCAGTTATGATGATCAATATGGCCAAGGCTGAGATGTTGTTTCAAGGAGTCCTTGTATCTCCTCTTCGGGGCTCCTCTCTTGCGGCAGCCGGTGGCAAGTTCACCATAAAGCAAGATCTTAGGGAGGCAGTGGTCCTTCTTCCTGGACATGTGCCCTGCCCAGCACAGCTGTGTTCTCAGCAACATGGCCTCAATACTTGTGATTGCTGGCTGTTCAAGAACAGACATATTAGTCGCATAATCTGACCAGTTTAAGATTGTACGGAGGCAGCGTTGATGGAAGTGTTCTAGGAGACGCAGGTGGTGGTGGTAGATGCCCCATGATTCAGATCCATATAAGAGAGTAGACAGCACTGTGACTCTGTAAACACTGATCTTTGTACTTTTCTTCAAGTGTTTATTTCCCCAAACTCTTTTATGAAGCTTTTTGAAGGCACTATATATCTTTGCTAACCTGTTGTCTGTCTCTCCATCAATCTTACTGTCCGAGGAGATGCCTAGATAATTAAATTGTTGGACTGATTTGAGCTCTGATTGGCCAATGGTGATATGGGAATGATGGAAGACTTCCTGAGGTGCAGGTTGATAGAGAACTTCTGTCTTCTTTAAGCTGACTTCCAGCCCAAAGAGCTCAGCAGCATCGGCAAGGCAGCTGGGGTTGATGGAATTCCACCTGAAATCTGGAAACATGGGGGCCTTGCACTCCATGCTAAATTTCATGAGTTTGTGGTGCACTGTTGGGAACTAGGCGAATGACCATCAGACCTTCATGATGCAGTCATCATCACCTTATATAAGAAGAAAGGAATTAAATCAGACTGTTCAAATTACCGTGGTATTACTCTGCTCTCCATTGCTGGCAAAATCCTGGCAATAATACTCTTGAACAGATTAATACCCGCTATAGCAGAAGGAATTCTACCTGAAAGCCAGTGTGGTTTCAGAACCAACAGGAGTACTACAGACATGGTATATCTAAGTATTGTGTTCAATATTAACTGTATTGAAGAATAATTTGGGATCCAGTTCTTCAATGCTCGTTCATGTGAGAAGTGTAACTTTATACCAAAAAACAAATTAAATCAAAAAGACTGTATGAAATTTAGTAGTTACTAAACATAAGCAAAAGTTGGGAAATTGATCTGTAGTTGGCCCTGGCTCATACTCATCAATATTTAAAATATGACCTTAATTAAAGACATTTTTTATACAACATGTAAGGTTTCCAATCAAGGAGTCTGTGGCAAAGAATATTGTTAAATCACTTTCTTCTGCGAAACTTATTTTTCCTGATTATGACTGTCCATGTCAATAGATTTCAGTCCGGATGCTTTGAATGCATTTTGCTTTTTCCTAAGCAGCCTTAGAGCCTCATTGAAACAGTATAGTATGGGTTCTTCACACTGCTTCAGCTCAGCTAACTATATCTCTCATGACATAGCCCAGCAAGTTTATCCACAGAGGAATAGTCCCAACTAAAGTACATTTCCCTGGCAGTTGAGAAGTCAAATTTTTAAAGTATGAAACAGTTGTATTGCTTTTCCTATAAACCACGGTACTGGCTTAGGTGGATACAAAATATATCTGAACCCATTCAGAATGAAAAATACTTTCATTGTTTAACTGACCTTTCTGGAAAATGTTTACTCTCTGGAAAGTTTTGGAAAAAAAAGTCAAATGTCTAAATATCAGCTGTCTCACAGAGCTAAAATCTCATTTTCTGTTCTACTAGGTAAAGTATCCTTGACTCAAGATATGAAATTCGTTAAGTTTGTTGTATTTGATCATTGAGAAATCTTATTTTGGGATAAGTGCCATGGTTCTAATTTCCCACTATGGACCACTGAGTGTTGGAAGCTGCTTTTGTTCACTGTGTAAGGGCGCAGGAGCATAGCTTTAATTATTATATTTGTTTGAAGCAATAACTATTGCACCTATTGAAAACAATTATTCATTTCCCCATTTTGAAATATCATCTTTTTTTACTGGTGTAATTAAGCAAGTCAGAATGACTAGGATAGAAGAAAGCAGACAAAAATGTTGAATGTCATTATCTGCTGAAATTACATGCTTTTGTACTACGTATTTTACACATCACATCTTCCAAAAAGAAGCTTAAATGGAGAGAAGTTAAATGAAATGGTGTCAATACTCATGGTAGTCTGTGTCATATACAATAAGCCTTGCACTGCTCTGTTGTTCTATGCAGAAGCTGGTGATAATCAGTACCATCTTTATGTTCAGACCTGGAAAAAAGATGAAATCTGTGTTCTCACTCCGTACAATACCAGCAAACCAAGCCTTGTCTCTGTAAAAAAAAGCTTCTGTAGCCTTTGATATTACAATAGTTCACTGAAGGGCAATGCCTTCAAAAGTTCCTTATTTGTGAGAACAGATTCACATTACAAGCTCCCACTGGCACCATCTGGCCCAAAGTTAAATGGAAAATCCAAAGAATACACATAGAATGTGTGCATGTTAAATGAAACTATGATTAAGGAGAGTTGTGTCTATTTATATTGGTAAATGCTGTAGGTCTTGCAGTGATCTTGGGGGAGCATGTCTGTGTGCATGTGCGTATGAGAGTGGTGTTTTTAGACAAAAATGTCAAATACAAGTCCATAATCCCATAAGAATCTTTAACTACTTTAGGGATGGACAACTTGACACATGAGCTGTTAAAACCTGTAAACTGTTGTACTTTTACTGCATCATATTATCTATCTTTTTTTTCCAAGAGTGAATTCGCCTGTTTCAGAGTCTAAAATATCTAAGTCAAATAAAACCACCGCTCCCAGAAACATATTATTTAACAGAAATGATTTAATGATTTCAGTACTGTAAGGGATATGGTAAAGCGCGATGCAAAAATGTGTTTCTTTTGTTTTGTTTGTTGTTTTTTTGGGTTTTTTTTAACCTACTCAATAAGGTAACGTGCCAAGATACCTTTGAAAAAGCGGCAAAATGCATTTGTACACTTGAAGTCTGTCTTTTGCGTGTACATATTGATCCACACAGTGTAAATATATGCTTGAGTAACCCTGCTGAGTGAGAGCAAAGTTTACTTGTGATCACAAGGTCATCTCAGAGTGCAGGCAATACAGGAGATGCTCTGTGTTTATCTCCACAGCTAGAAACTATGACTTGGGGTTTTCTGAGTTACAAGTCTTGCTTTTAACTAGTCCTTAAGACTTTTCTTAGTTTGCCCAGATCCTTTTTGAGCCTACATAAAGTCTGAGCATAAAAAACATCCTGAGGAGCTGTGTGAGGCAGTATCTCAATTTTTTTTGCAACTTATTTTTTTCCTGCCCCCTAGGCCTTCTATTGGAAAAGAAAGGAAATAATAACACCTTATGCTTTTTCATTCTACTCATGGTTTTTATAGACTTTTATTCTATTCCTTCTCAGTCATCTCTTTCCCAGGCTGAAGGGTCCAAGTCTATTTAGTTATTCCTTCTACCAATATTATTCTTTAACTTTGATTATCCCTGATACCCTCCTCTGCACTTTCCTCAATTCTTGTTCTCACATCTCAAAAATAATATAATAGAAATGAGAGCATTCAAAATGTAGTTATATGAAGAATTTATGCAGTGGCATAGTAGTGCCTTCCCTTCTGTATTCTTTTTTGAATAATTTCTAGCATTCTATTTGCTTCTTTCACTGTTTTTGATGTGATGCTTTCATAAAACTGCATTACAACATCATCATCTCTATTATGTGCCTGCTACTCAGCTTGGATGCAGACTGAATTCTTACTATGTATGGAATCATGTTTTGGAGGCAGAAAATTAGAGCCAGGTTTGCTTAAGAGTAGTCAGCAAAAGATTTTTGGGAACACCAGTAAGTCTTAAAGAGAACACAATTTGAAATCTTCTACCTAAAAAATTCTGTACATCAAATTATAGGGCTTTGTTTTCACAGAATATTCTGAGATGGAAGGGACCCACAAGGATCATCGAGTCCCACTCTGAAGTAAATGGCCCATACAGGGATCAAACCCACTACCTTGGTGTCATTCCCTAACCAGCTGAGCTACAGAAATTTTGAGTAAATCTTATAAATACCCTGTGAGAGTCTGATGGTATTGTTATTGTAAGGTTGATATTAAGAATAATTTAGGATTTTTCCCCAGTCTTGTAACAGTGGAATTTATGGTTGAAATTTGAAAACTCCTAGATACGGCTCTGGGACCATTCCACTAATTATTTTAATATAATGATGTTAATTTGCAGGTTCTGATGTTGAAACTTTGTGTGATTTTTAAAGTTTGTAGAGTTTCTGTATGTTTTGATCTTGAGCCTTCTACTCTGCTAAAACCTAGTGGGAAAAACTAATCCTTTATTTTTCACTTCAAAAAATTCAAGTAAAGGTATGTGCCACATACTGTTCATCCCCGCTCTGGGGGGAAAAAAAAAAAGAGAGAGAATAATTTTTACCTGATTTGCCTTCAAGCTGGAAAACTGAATGGGAATTCAAAGGCTCACTATGAGAAAAAAAGAGCAAATGGTGATAAAATCAAATATTTCCCACAAAATAAAATATGAAACCTCAAAGGAAGATTACATGAGAAAAAGTTTCATTACTGCCTTTTTCTCACTGTTAGAGGGAATGGATGAAAATAATTTCTGTGGCGGTTTATTTTCATTCATTTTTACAAGTAAGACTTGGACCTTCTGTTCTGATCAGGCTGCCTAATATTCCTGAGTATTTAATCCTCTTAAGAAAGGAAATCCTCTTGGGGAAGTAAATTTGAAAAATCATACTATGCACCTCTATACATTTCAACTTGCACTTCAGCCTCTTGAAGGGCTCGATAAACTTTTCTGCTACTATTATTTACATCTGTTTTACATTATTACTTACATCTACTTATCTAAACACTGTTAGAACTAAAAGTTATGGAATTCTGTGTTTGTTTGGATCTCTGTGATGGAGTCAGAATCCTGTGACATAAAAGCATAGAATCATAGAATGGGTTGGGTTGGAAGGGATCTGAAAGATCACCTAGTTCCAACCTCCCTGCCATGGCCAGGGACACCTTAAAGTTCCATCCAACCTGTCCTGAACATTGTCTGGGATGGACCATCCACAACTTCCCTGGGCAGCCTGTTCCACTGCCTCACAGTAAACACAAAGCATTAAATAAAATTTACAGAACATCTCAATGTCTGTACTGAGTGAAGTGCTTGGTCTAGTGACTTATATCAATAACAATACTTTCATTTATCCCTGTCCAAGATTGCTATTCATATTAAACCAATACTTGCAAATCCTTGTTTTTTCGCATCAAAACCTGCTACAGCTGTTTTCAGCAGTAGTGCAGTCCTCCAGCAATTTCAGAAAACTTAAGTAAAACTCTTTAATCTCTTTACACTATCTTAGCTTACAAAATAATTTTCAGAGTATAATATGGAGTACAATTCTGCAAAGTATATGTTAAAAATTAAGATATTTTTGTGTCTAGGGAAATGAGCAATCTCTAGCTTTGCTTTCACAGTTTTTGCTTTCCACGGTTCTTGATAGTGGTCAACCCCCTTTCTGGTGCTGGATCTTCATGAGGAACTTATGGAGCTGGGAGTATGTTAGTAGTCTGTAGATTAATTTTGTGACTATAACCCAGAGTATCCTTCAGATTTTTAGAATTAAAAAAACTTAAACAAACAATGATGAATACCAGAGAAGGTGCAAACTGGAAATTTAATTTTAAATAAAAATTTTAAAATTTTAAATTATTTTATTAATAAAGTTTTGCAGCTACATGTTGCAACATATACATTTTAAGCTTCCAAATAGTCGCTTATTACAGAAATAGTGATCTTACTGAAAAACCCAAATTCCTTTTTCAGAGACTATGAAATCATCAGGACAGATGTTACACAGAAAGCACAAAAATGTTCTCTGACACAAATATCTTGCATATTAAGTAAAAGACAAAGATAGCATATGGATATAGAATAGCTGTAGAGCGCAAGGAAACAAGGCAAGTAAAGTTGTTCAGCCTGATTGTCCTTGTAGTAGCATCCCGTTGCCAATTTTTGCGTAAACACCACGGAGAAAAAAAACATATTTAAAGATTGATCATAGTGCAGCTTTGTGGAGGTTTCAGGGGAACTCCTCACAGAAAGAATGGAATATAAAAGACATAAACAACTCTGTAATTTTAATGAGACCTTGGCACTATGATGGGCCAGACCTGGAGTTTGGGATTAATAAGAAGATTGCCAGGGAAGAGAGGACTAAAGAGGTTTTTTAAAGAAAAGATACAGTTTACTTTTCATGAAACAGAAGAAACAGTAAGAAAAAAGATAGATGAAGAGTTGTACCTCTGTCAGAGTCTGACAACACATATGAATGTTCCAATAGGATTTCAGATGAGTGTGAACCAAATGGGACCACATTTGTTTGAGAAAGTAGTTCAAGAAACCTACAAATAAAAGGATGAAGATCACAGCTAGAAATATAAAAGTAAAAATTAAACAAATGTGAATAAACTTGTTCTTTTCATTCATAAGCAAGGAGTAAGTTTATATAATATCCTTGATTTGTATTTTATGTGACTGAAGCAGTCCAACAGTAAGTAAGTCCAACTGCTTAACAGTCCTTAAGCACACTTCTGGTATTGTGCTTAATACCAGAAGTGATTAAATAAAATTGCAGTTTTGTTTCTTGTGAGAACATGTCTTGTGACAACGCGCTCTCTGTCATTTCTACCATACCTCTAAATTTGCCTGTCAGTTTCAGCCAAAGGTGAAAGAATTCTCAATGATAAGTTCCTACAAATTTTATGAAAGCTGAACAAAAAAGGAAGAGATTCTCAAGCTGGTGTCCCAGAGAACGCTCAGACAAAGCAAAACCTGTACAGATTGATTGGGAGCAGCCAGCTTACTATGTAACTTGCTCTACATGACAAATGCACTGATGGGCCAGCCAGCACATAGGTAGGTCTCTATTCACAAAATTGCCTGTAGGACCCTACAAGAGAAGGGACAGAGAACAGTAATTGGATGTATTGAAGTATTAAGGGACAAAGGAAGCAAATCCATAAAGAAAAAAGCCTCATCAGCACTGCTCAGGGAAGGAGCTTTTTTAGTGTCTTAAGCAGAAACAACTCGGAATTTGAAAAGATAACACTACACCTGAACAGTCATAACCTGAGACTGTTAAAATCATCATAGTGTGTCACTCTAGTTATACTATAGTTCAGATTTTTACTAAAATTTATTATTTTAAATATTTTATACTAAATGCACTTGCAGTGTCATAAAGTTATTCTTCCATTTAAGCTGTTGTAAGACTGAAGTTAATTGATCATACGTGGTAAACACTGACTTTTGGGAGGGGGCAAAAATAATAAGACCCCCACATATATACAGATATACAGAGATGACAATTAGTAAGTGAGTCCATGTGTGCATGGGGTATCCTCCAAATGCACAGTGAATAGTGCTTCTCATCCCCAACTCACCAGGGATGATGGCAGGGTCTCCAGGCTCCTAGGCACTGATCGTCTTCCCTCTCACTATATTCATGAAACCGTGATGTCTGGAAAACAAGATGAAAGAGAGGATTGATATGCCGTTCTGGTTCCATACTACTAATTTTGCTAAAATAAAAACTAGGTAACTTATCAGCATGAGGACACCTCTTCAGAGGAGTAAAAATTTTTTATTTTTTGTCACTGAAGTAAAACAGTGTACTGGAATGTGGATAAGAAAATCTGCTAAGCAAGACAGTTATTTTGACACAGCTACTTCTCAGAGTGAAACAGTAGTTTAAAATCTATATAAAATTGAACTTAGCAAGGAGAGTAAAGAACAGAATATAGCTGTTTTTCTCCTGAATGGATAATTTGAATACAATTTCAAGTTAAAGTTAAAACTTCAGAAGAGTAGGATGAGAACTGGAAGTCACAGATCTTAAAATGTCACATGGATCTTAAGATGTTCAGTTTGCCTACTGAAAAGATTTTAAAGCACATTTGGTCCAAGACAAAGGGTATTTCTGAGATTCTAAATATGACATCTTGGCAATTGTTGTTTGTGTTATGCCAGTCTTAAGAGTTATACACATTGAGTATCGATACATATTCTGTTTTTCAGAAGTATAACCAAATGCACTGAAGAAAAAAAGGCAAACAAATTCACAGGTCCTTATGCTTTCCAGGTACCTTACAACATTGCCTCCTATGGAGCTATTTAACAGGAAAACCAGGGAGACTACGTACCTCTTTACAGGGTAGACTTTTTCATATTCTTTGTCTGGAAGCAGTCATAGGCACCTCTCCTGTTTTACCTCATTTGAAAATAGGGTTGTTATTAAAAATGTATGGTCCCCATCATAATCCAGTATAAAGCTTTGAATTACAATGAAAATGACAGTGCTTTATGCCACGTTTTCCCTAAAGAATATTCTTAGCTATGTTCATTCAGTGAAGTAAATATACACTTTTAGTCATCTTTATGAATTTTTTTTTATTTTAAAATTATTTTATTATTGAGTTTGAGCTATCCTGCAAAGCCATCATAAATAAAGGACTCTATATCACTTATAGTGCCTTAGCTATTGAGAAGGCACACATAGACTCAGAGCCCAGTCAAGTAAAGAGTAGAAGGCTGGTGAGTAATTTGACAGCTTAACACAAGCCCTGGCTCAACAGATATACTAACTGAGTTGTGTTAATTAATCTGTGTTCTGAATGGAACTCAGACTTTTTCTGAATGTTGATTATCGGGTTTCACCACCAATCTTCTGTAACAAAAACCCACAAAGCTAAGGAAGATGAGTTACCTTAGTGAGGCACTACTCTTGACAATGTATTTTATTGTGAGTATGGCAAAAAACTGAATTCAGGAAACAACAAAGTCTTCATCTGTGAAAGGAAAAAGGAGCAACAAAAGCCTCAAGTGTCTATGTTGTTGAGAAGATCTGAGAAAGAGGTTAGCAGCGTAGCACACACAAATCTGACAGCTGCTCTTTTAACATCACTGCAGACCTGCTACCCTACTGTAATTTTCTTCTAGTGTTCTTACCCTAGAACTATTTCCATTTCTACCAGCCTCACTGTTGTTGTCACCTCTTTCATCAAGTTAATTTTTACTTCAAAATAACCCAAAATGGTCCAAAACTTTGAGGTCAGCCTCAGTTTCAGTGAGAAGTTGAACTCAGTGATGCCTAGATGTTCCCTCTAACATTAATTTTTCTCAGATTCTATGATTTTAATTCCTTCAGTGGAAGAAAGATCAAATTACCATGGAGTTTCTTATCCTGTATTGTGCTTATACTTTCTGTTGTGATTAGGACATTATCTAGTTATTATAATGGATGTAAAAAACCTCCTCATTTGTTCATGCTTTTCTGCAGAAATTGTCACGGTGCGCTTGCTCGCAGTGTCTGGCCCTTGCCACCTAACCATATTACTCTGTTAGGAACAGATAGCCGTTTTAGTAGGGGGTCATAGGCTTGCCAAGAAAGCTGCGTGTTGAATTCACAGCCACTGGAAAGGAAACAGGCAGGTTGAAAAGCCCCCAGGTTACCTGGCAAACACAGCTGATCACTAGTTTCCATTTTATCCCTGTTTTTGTCATTTTCCAGCCTTTTTTCTAAAAGAAAATTAAAACAAAAAATGTTTTGATTTTTGCTTTGAAAAAGTGCTGTGGAATTTCAGTGTTTGATCAAGATGTAAAGATTTCATTCCGGACAGTCTGGTATAAGTTTTGTTTTTCTGAGCTGCCCCATATGAACTGCTGCTCAGGTTGGTCTTTTATTGCAGTTCCCTGGAAGGATCTCAATTCCCGCTGGGCTCCACAGTTGCTGAATAGATGGTGCATCAGGGAAACACTTGGCACTGGTACCTTCTGGATTTTTTCACTGAAACTGTTTTTACAAGCTCACCTATTATTACACACCAGAGGATCCACATATTAAAAAACACATGTAGCAAGTAATAAGAGTCCTTCAGTGTTAGGTAAAACTGAGTGCTTCAGGACATTTGTGTCATGGCACTCACTGTTCATGCTCTGATATTTGATGTGAAATTTGTTACGTTTGAGATCTCTGCTCCAGTAGGGGCTGACAGAAACATGAACAGACACATACAAAAGTCATATCCATCATGTTACGTTAATGTAAATCAATGTGTCTGCAGTTATTGCAGATGGGGAATAAATTGCATATTGGACTACCAAAGCAGTTTTGCATAAGCTGTGTTGGGCTTGAAAGTCAGCCTTAAAAAACAACAACAAATCTTTTTCTTCTCAACGAGATGGACTGCCTTTTTCTAGATGCAGGACTTAGTTTTTATCTTCTGAGTTGTGAAAGAAACTGAAATAAAAAAATCCTTTCTCAAACTCATAAGAGAAGCAGAGGGCAGTGATAATCTCTAACTTGTGCACAGTCATACTCGCGGGATAGCAATAAATTTTCCCACAGCTTTCTAATTTATTCGAATGAGAAATAGGGGTCTTTAAGCTGCAATCGTTATAATCAACAATGCTGTTAATGGCTATTCCCATATTTCTGAGACTCTATTAAGTAAATGAATTTTAGGTCTCTGTGACATAAACTGCATGTCCTGATGTTACTTTGAAATATCACTGAATTTCTGATTAAAATTATTGTGTAATATGTCAAGCGTTGGTACAATTGATCACATTTATCCCACTTATATAATATTATCATCTAATCCTATAGTATAGATAACAATAGGTTTTTCATGTCCATGGACAGGGAATAAGGACTATCTCTTCTTGCCTTTGTAAAATTCGGGGGTAGAAGACATCTCTTTGGAAACATCTCTTTGCACTACTCTTGGTTTTACTCAGAAGGACAGTTAAGATATAGAAGTAGATACTAAACCCATATAATATGTTATCCTTAGGAAAAGGAAGAATTACAATTCTTTATTGTTCTGTGAAATAGAGTATATTATGCTAAACCTTTGCAACCTTTCAGAAAATGTCTCTTTCAAAAGGTTTAAATACAAGATGAAAGTATGAGCAAAACTAGAGTTCAGGCAAAGGGGAAAAGGTTTGCTGTTGGCACAAATGTCATGAAGGGACAGAAAGGAGGAGGAAGACAAAGCTGGGCACACTGCAGCTACTGGGAGGACATTCAGCCTGTGACTGCAAACTGAAGGTGGGGGAGGAAAAGCAAACTAACAAAAAGGAGAAAGTGTCTTTTTGTGTTCAGCACAGAACTCCTTAGTACCTTGTCTCCCTGCAAGTCACTGATTAACTGGCTGAGAAACACAGTGAACTGAACTCAGTAGAGTAACAGAGAAGGATATAGACAGAAAGGAAAAAATGAGAAACTTTTGCCATTAGAACAAAAAGAAATTTTTACATATCATATTCAATCCAAAGGTGTGAAAGATACTTAAAAGAAGCATAATCACAGGGAATAAAAAAAGAAGGAAAGACAGCAGGTAAGTGAGAGCAAAATGGTAGGTAAAAGCAGAGTAATGTTTCAGATACAAAAGTTAAAGACAAGAATTTGGAGAACAAGGAATAAATGGATTATGGTGTCTGAAGTGATAACCAAATGAAAAATGGAAAACATTAAGGTGGATTCACAAAACACCAAATGAAATATGGAAGTTAGACTAAAATAAGAAACATGGGCAGACATATAATGAGCAGAGATATGGCAGAGGAATTTTCTTTTTTTGGTATTTACAGAGAAAAATATATTTTAGTGGATCAATTTATTTTAAATGCTTATGTTTTGGTGACATTTCAGTGCAGAGAAAATGAAAACACAATTCTTTCTTTTTTATCACAGAATCATAGAATACCCTGAGTTGGAAGGGACTCACAAGGAATGCCAACATCCAACTCCTGGCCCTGCACAGAACAGTGCCAAGAATCACACCATGTGTCCAAGAGTGTTGTCCAGCTGCTTCTTGAACTCTGTCAGGCTTGGTTCTGTGAACATTTTGCAAGGCAGCCTGTGCCAGTGCTCAAGCATAGTCTGGGTGAAGAACCTTTCCCTAATATCCAACCTAAACCTCCCCTAGCACAGCTTCATGCCATTCCCTCAGGTCCTGTCATTGGTCACCAGAGTGAAGAGACTGGTGCCTTCCCCTCTGCTTCCCCTTGCGAGGAACCTGTATGTACTTCTTCCACCAGTGAACTTACCCTCACCTATGATGTTTTCCAAAATGATGATTATCTTCTTTCCAGAAATGTTACATTTACTAGCTGCATCTAAAAGAACTGCAAGTTAATGACACCAACATGCAAGAGCAGATATTGAGAGTAAAACAAAGACTACTGGTTAAATCAGTGCTCACGCAACATGCAAAAGGAACAGCAATGACATTTAATTTCAGTAACCTATTCCAGATGGGAACGTGGAAGAATAAATGTGTTCCTCTCTTTTGAAAAATTTTCAAAAAGTACCTGCAGGTTTGCAGATAGCAACTATTACAACATATCCAAAAGTTTGATTTTCTACCAGCAGTTATATGGTAGATATAAGTTACATAAGTGTGGATCTGGGGAAATGAATTTAAAATGCATACATGCTATTGTTATAAAATTAAATTAAACTTGAGGAGAAAGATTCTTGATTTTTATTTTAAGTCAAATCTTGAGAATAAATTGCAAGTACTCAAGTTTAGTCCCTAAAATGCATCTGAAGGAGACATTCTTAGAATCATATTTTAGCAGGAAGATAGTACATGAGTAGGTTAACCTGTACCTCCTGTAATCCAGGCAGGTTCTGACTTTCACAGAAGGAAGAAAAAAGTTGAGTGAACCCTGTCAACACCATGAAAGATTTTTTTTTTTATAAAACTATTATTTATTAACAAATGCATGTGCATGTGTATTCATAAATTTGTGTATTCATTAATGACCAAACATGTTTGCATGCATGAGCACTGGATAAATTACTTTTGTGTTCTTCCCATGCCATAAATTCTGCTACCTACTTGACTTATTTTCTTCTGAAGATAGAAAATTCAACCTTTTATTAATCATAAGATGAAAGCCATTCATGTAATTGTTCACATTCAGCTGTGTAAAATTAACCTACATGGGGATGAGAAAGTTCAACAAAGCAGCACTGTGTTTCATTTATTAGAAGTTACAAATCCGAAATTAAAGAAATATAAATAACCTGTCATTTCCATATAGATAATGACAGGTTAGTCTTTCAAGGGAGTGTAATACTTGCACATCAGAAGTTTTACTTTCCTAGGGATTTCTGTAAATACTGCCTCATACTTTCTTCTAAATCTGCCCACTCTACAGAAAAACCCAAACAAAACAAAGCAGATAATGGAAAATGTGAACTTCCTCAAAAGCCTCCTCTTTTAGTTTCCTTCTTCAAAGACATAATGGAAATGAAGAAGATATGAAGTAAACTGATGCCAACAAAAGCTGCCATTAAGAAATATTTCCAGGTATGGCCTACAAAAAATCCATGAAAAAATATGGTGTTATTGGTACTTCTATTTTGAGACTTCATTTGATATTCAAGATTCCCCTTCTACTGTTTTAATTGATTAAATGTAATATGTTAAAATTATAGTATCTTTTAATTTAAATTAAATTTAAATTAAATTTAATACTATAATTTAATACTATAATTTAAAATTATAGTATTTGAAAAAAAAAAGGCATTTACATTATAAGCTAAATTTTTAGAAGATTCAGATTCCATAGCCCAGGGATTTTAAATTTCACTATATTTCTGCAGTTGCAAAACTCAGAATTTGACAGTTGAATATTGAAATTAATCAGATAGATATATTTCCACATTTTCAGCCCATGCTTTGCAATGCAAGGCAGTTGTTTGGTAGATGAGAAATCTGCCTATTTCAACAAAGGTCACCACTCCAAAAAGTGTGTCTGGGTCTGTTTTTCTGGACTTTAAGTGAATTCTTCAAGGGGATGTTCACCATTTCACTAGGAACAAAAACATCTCATTTAATTCAGAGTCACCTGACCCTGGAGTGTAGACAAGTGCATTCTGTAAATAAAAGGAAAGTGCCTCAAAATAAATGCAGATAATGGAGCAAACTCTAATTTATTTTCTACTCATTATTGAATACCTATTTATATTAGGAACGCATCCTCTTACGATGACTTCTCTAGCTTACTCATTTACTTTTTCAGGATCATTTTGTTTTCAGGACAGTGGAGAGAGGAGAAATAGATACAAAATAAAGATGAGATGGGTCCTATTCTGATCACAGCAAATTCCTGACATTTCTTCTACTGTTCTACATGATAATTTTCCATTGTATTGCACACTGTTTTGAGTTGCAGTTGGAACACCATGTTTTCCAACAAGAAAAATTGGAAAAAAGCAGTCTAAATGGAGGAAATCAAGCAAAGAGTTACCCGGCTTTAAAATACCTTCAAAAGAGGGATTTTGGTTCAAACTATACGAAGATGCTCCAAACAAGGATGTGTATTATCCTGATTTAAAGTGACCCTTTATGTATCTAGGAAACTCCCTCCCTAAAAATCAAAAAATTGCGGATACTTACACGGATTATGCCCAGGAGTTTTTCACATAACTGAGAATAGCTGCGATTTTTTTTCTAGGGAGAAACACAAGAACTAGACAAAAGCTGACTGTATCAAAAAGGATTTTCTTAGAAGGAAATTAGGAATACACGACATGATGAAACTGCTCCTAGCGTGTGACTCAGACTTTTAGTTACTAAGGACATCACTTGTCCCCAAGATGGGGTACGCTTACATTTTTGCCAGTCACAATTTATACAGTTTTACTTCTGTGTCAAAATGGAAATATAGAGAGACAAATAAATCAATTCTATCTGAATGCAACAGCATCCTGTTTAAAAATTATATATTTTTAGTCCACTGAACACTTTCTAAGGAATTTTGAGTAGTTTGAATTTAATTACATTACATAACTCTTAAAAATTATTTCTTATTCTTTATTATTTATTATATTACACTTTAATATTAACATGCAATTTTCAAGAAAACACACGAAGAATTTGTTCTCCACCTGCTGAAATCTAACCATCAGCTTTTGCAAAATATTGAGGAAAAAAATTAAGAAAAATCTTCTGATATTTTCAGAATTCTGTCCTTCAAGCCCTCACTTCTCAGAGGCTTGGTCAGATTCCACAATAGTAATTCTGCTCTCTCTCCAGCTTTAGCTACCTTTTGTGGGGGCTTTACTTCAACCTTTTGTATTTCCAGTGTGATGGGTATTGAAGACAGTCCCACAAAAATCGTTACCTTTTAAAACATTATGGAAATAGGCATAACAGGAATGAGAATATCATTACCTTTTTAACCATTAGCCTAAATATGTCTAAGTGACATTTTAGTAATTTAAAATAGAATTAATTCACATTTTGGAACATTCTGCTGGTCTTTGATGAATAATACAAACAGAAAACAAATTGAGCAACTTTTCCTTGGTCACAATTAAATAGAAAAACACTGGAGAAAGAAAGTGCTTTTTTAAAAAATAGGAAGAGGAAATGGAAGGGGAAACCAAAATAATTCAGTTATGTAGTCCTAGATTCCCTGGATATTCTTTTCTAGGATAATTGAGGGACAGAGGAAACTAAACAGAAAATTGCATTTTATACTTTTAAAAATTGTAGGACGGCACGTTTTTTCCCCCCATGCATCCTGACAAAAAGCAGAGCAATACAATAGCAAAAAGTAGGTCTGCTGCCCATTGATTTGATAGGCATTGCAGTGCCTTATATTTATGGTTTAACTTCTGATTTGTATTTCCTTTTTGCTCACTCCACAATGAGATACTGTACCATTCAGCCAAATAAATCAGTGAAGAAAAATAGTGTTAAGAGCTGGTTTGACTTATGGACTCATTCAATTCAATAATCTGGAGAGCATGATTGCTTTAAGGTCTGAAATTGAACAACATCTTAGTAAAAATTAAAAACAAAGGAATGGACTCTGGTAATTGCTTATTAAATTTTCAAACCCCAGTGACAATAACAAGTTTAATTTGATTGCTCAATACATTTAAAATAGATGGCACTGAATGCACAACAAAACCACACCAGCATAGCAAATAACTAGACATTCTTGAATGGATAAATACCTCGGTACTTTACTACCTCTGGAGAGTTTAAGGAATCCAATAAGGCAGACTCGAACGGATCCGATGAAAATGCTGTGCATCATGCACAAACTAGTGCTGGATTGCAGCAGTCGCTGCCTCAGTTTAGTGCTTCACTGGAGAAAAAATGCTCTCTCCACATGCACATCCTGGCTTTTTCAGGCCTCCTGAAAAAACCTCCCACTTTTTTTCTGCTGCCTTAGATCCACAATGTGTTTGTTTGCCTGCTGCAAACACTGAGTTTCCTCATGCACTGTTAAATTTTCACAGGACATTTCATTTCAGTATAGTAAGGTCCAGGAGTTCAACACCAGAAACCAACCAAACAAAAACGCTTTAAAATATGAGAGTTGGGAGGGAAAAGTTGGACTACAGGGTCTTGTCAGAGCATATGGAAGGAGAAAGGAGGAAGATAAGGGAACAGGGGGAAAAAAGACAAGAATTTAAAAAGCAGCTTTAAAAGAAAAGCCGACTGGCTTGTAAATCTCACTTCTCATCTTCAGACAGCTTTTCAAAAAGCTAAAGGGCATTAAAGATGTGAGTTTAAATGGTTTTCTGAAAGACTGTTTTTGCAAAAGCTATAAGATATTCTGAAGAAGTCATATAAGCTGGAGAAAGGGGGCTAGGAATATACTTATAAGAGAGAAAGGGAAAAATAATTAAAGTACTTGCACAAAAGGGGCAAATTAGAGTTCTCACTTTCACCCTGACTTTTCACAATACTATATTAACACTAATCAAACTTAGTTTTTGCATGCTAGTAGGGAAAAGACTTTTTGCTCAGATCTGTGAAGTGATACACTTTTGGCTTGTCTTCTAGAGAAAACATACCGTGAGAGAGTCTATCAAGTAAATATGGAAAAATACAGACAAAGAAGCATGAACTCAGCCAACTAAACCTATCAATGAGAGCCAACGTGCCTGTGCTGTTACATCAGCAGCCATTCCACACTTTAGTGTGCTGCTGCCCAGATTGCTTGCCAAGCCGCAAGATGAAATTACCTTCTTGCCAGCTGCCATCTTTAAGACTGCTTTAGATTTGAATGCAGATTTACACCACCTAAAGTTATTGTTTAAACACAGGTTCAAGGATCACTTCAAAGGTGTCCAACCTGTGAAG